CCCCCAAAACCCCAAAACCCCAAAACCCCTCGCAGATATCCTAAGATTGAAATTTTAAACTTTATAAATGTTTCGATAGCAGTCTGTATCTATCAGAATACTCCTGTGAGCCAACTCTGATGATGAAACTAGCATCGATCTTGTCTCTGGCTATACTTTTGACAAGCTGTTCGATGCTATCTTCTCAAGTATCACAGATATCTATTCTGAGGGATTCTAAATTGTGCATCTTTTTTAATATCGTAAACAGATTATGAAGATGCTTGATTGTATCGTCGCTCGTATGTTTGTACTCTAAGTCAAGAATCCTCAGATTGCTATGCTCTTCAAGCAGGTATTCAAAGTTATTATAAAACGCCTTGTTAGCTTGTGTAGTTTCATCTATGATCTTGATCTCAACGATATCGAACCTGTGAAGGGATGCCATACAATCCTCATAACGTTGTTCTTCTTCCTCGCTCTTAAAGTCAAATAATTTGACAGTTAGACTTGCATGAGGCTTTTCTCAGAATTTGCTAAGTTTCCGTAAACTTTGTTTGTTCAGCAAAATATCTGAGGAGAGGTCTATCTCTACAAATATTTTTGCTTGGAAGGTCTTGATGATCTGAAAATTTAAGTCTTGGAGAGATGCACGCACATGAGTAATACTGGCTATAGGAAAGCTGACATCTCATTTCTCAGGTGGATCTTCGCTCGGACCCATTTGATAAAGAACTTTTGATGCTATAATTTCTCCACTGATTTGGGAAAAATATAATTCTGAAGATCAATAATCTTCACTAACAACTAATTTAGCAGAGATTTTTCAACGGAATTTTTTGAATTGCAATTCCTTTCCACAAAATTTGATCTGTCAGGACTCTCCAGTAAGGGTATTAGTTGTATCTGAATAACTCTGATTATTTAAAACAAGTCTGACTTTCTTCTTTTGACAAATACTGGACAGCTCATAAATATTTTCAATAATGTAGGACTGGGAGTCTTCCTCTGACAAAGAGTTAGACCCTCCAATTATCAACTTGAGGTACCTCAGAGGAAACTCAGAGTCCGAAGTGTTCTGTATTGCTTCTACTCCTTCAGAGATTATTTGGAGATAATGTCAAATTTTCATAGAACTTCAGTGGGACATCTTAAGCGAGAAGCTTGACCTCTGAGATTTCTGGCAAATTTGGTCAAAAGTTATATACCGAAGAAGCTTTGTAAGGATCTTGACATCAATAATCTCCTCTGAGAACTGTTTCTGGAATGCAACATCATCAGTATCAGGCATGCAGACGAAGCTGGTGCCTAGAAAGATCCCAAGTCTGCCAACTATGCTATTCCGGGCTTTCTGATCACTGAAAGTGATGAAACTAGGTGCTAGATATCAATCTCTTCCATTGTCCTGATAATTGATCAGCTCTTTGTTGAACTTGGCAATTATTCTCTTGAAGGTTTTGATAGTCTTGGGTAAAGATCCTTTGGACTTGAACACACCAAAATTTTTGAACATTATAGATTTCACCGTAAGGCTTTCTAAGTCAAGTTTGCTCAACATCTCAAGAAACTTTTGAAGCATACCTTTACTAAATAAGCGAACATGAAAAATTATCTGATAAAGCTTGTACTCTTCCCTTTGAATGAAGCCATGAAATGCCTCTGAGCCTTTTTTTGTAAGACTTTTTAAGAAAACATTTGTAACTGTCAGAACCCTCTTCTTGAGAATATACTTCATCAAACAACCTTTACCAGGATATGCTTGGAGAAAAATTTGTTCATTCTCCAACCATATCTCACGCGAGTCTCTTCTCAGCTTAGTCATTAGCACCTTTCACTGGTCTGCATATCCATAATAAGGCAGGATCTTGGATGCCAGGGGGAGGTTTGTCATCAGACCCTTGCTGCACTTGTCTGGGTTAAAACCCTCATCAAGATCACTGAAGTGGCTCGTGCTGTATTTCTCCATGCTAGATCAATTCAATTATTATAGTGATCCTGGGGTTTTGGGGTTTTGGGGTTTTGGGG